TAGTTTATCTCTTTCATCTCAATTCTCTTCGTTTTAAGTTTCTTTCTTATATTTATCGTTCGATTCTACCGGAGGAATCCACGTTAACTTACTGGTCTCATTAGCAAATTGTGTAGCTTTTAGGTTCCACTGAATTGAGAGGAAGAGGGTTTGGAGTTAATATCATAACCGTGCCTTATAAATACCCTAATTATTTATCTCTCCAATACGACAGATTGCTCAGAAGCTCGACTTAAACCCACTAATAATATTCTAGACCACTTTAATCTCACCGCTTCTTATCATCGCAGCACCGTTAATATTCACATATAACCATGGCCAATTCTCGAGCGCCTACTCCTCTTCAATAATCCTAGGCTAGTATCAAAGCTATAACGGAAACTAAAAGCAGTAGGGAAGAAAAGACAAACCTGAACCAATGATCAAGGCTTGACCTGCAGCTGCAGCTGGTCTCTGTCGTATAACCTATCTCGCCGACGAAGCTACAAAACGCGAGAAAAAAGACTGTGGTACTTAGTGGAGTGACGGCCGCTGTGAAGCGGATCGCGCCATGGTTGGCTTCTCCCTCGACTGGCGGCTACTGCTGGGTGTTAGCTTCGCTTCCTCGGTTTATTAGGTTTAGCTTGTTTATATATAGAGGAAGGGGAATAAAGGACCGAGACAGAAAAGAAAGCTGCGGGAAGCTTTCTTTAGCATAGTTAGTTAATACTCCGTTTAATACACGTATATGTACCCGTACGTACTTTATCCGTTTAAAACTTCCGTATCCGTATTATTGTCAAGCCGTTTCATTTTCCCCCGTTCATTTCATGGTTCCCGTACTAAACACGTATAAAACCCGTATAACACGTTTATTATCCGTATTTTACGAATTAAATTGTTAACTTTACTATTATTTATATATTTATTTATTTTTAAAATGATTAATTTTATATATTTATGACTATTAACGTACTATTAAACGTAATTTTAACTTAAAGATGAAGTATAATGCCCGTACGTATCTTTTACGTAACTTTCCCGTACCGTATTTTACTAACTATGTTCTTTAGGTGTACTTTAGGTGTTCTCTTTTGCTTAGGGTTTATTTTTATTTAGTCGGTTGGTTATAAGGGGTACTTTAGGTGTTCTATATATAAAATTGGGGAATGGATGTGACAGTAAGTAGGATCTCCATCTACATACAAGAAACAATAATTATATGAAATTATTAGTTCGTACAAGTGAATTATGTGATCTTCTAATTAAAACATATGAGATATAATCAAAGTATAGTGTATTTACATATGAAGTTTTCTAGTACTAATGGCGCCTATCTACACGAACATATATGAACTTAATCCATGTATGCAAAGGGCAAAAATAATTCTACCATAATTCTATGAAATTGTTAGTTCGTACAAGTGAATATGTGATCTTCTAATTAAAACAATTGAGAAATAATCAAAGTATAGTGTATTTACGAGGAAAAATAGAACACACGGTGTTTTTATAAAAAAAAATATTTATATTTAAAAAGATGGGTTCCTATTTCACTATCTATTTTAAAAGTTGTTTTGTAAATAACCATAACTTTAAGGACATTTATCATGTGGGCCCTTCTAATTGTCTCTTCACTTTTATTTTTTTAGTTCTTTCTTTTCTTCTTTTTTTCTTTTACTCATATCTCCTAATATGTGTTACTAGAAAAAAAAAAGTATTACTATTGATTAAGTGTATATGTTGTTATTGTGATAATTAAACCGTTCTATTTGTTCGTATTTGATTTTATATCTTTAGTTATCTCACTCGCTCGATCTCTAATAAGAAAGCCATGAAGAAATCCCCTAACATGTGTTATCATTATGAAGCGTATTTTTTGTTGTGTTGTAACAAACCTATTTGTTCCTATTCAGTTTTGCACTCTTCCTCATCTAATTGTTCGTATTTGATTTTACATCTTTAGTCATAACTCTCGCTCAATTTCAAATAAAAAAGCCACAAAAAAATCCCAAAATATGTGTTACCATTCATTAAGCGTATTTTTTGTTGCTTTGTTGAAGTTGACATATTTGTCCGTATTTGGTTTTGCATTGTTACTCATTTCTTTCTCGCTCTAGCTCGTATAGGAAGGCCACGAAGTAATCTCTCATTCCCCCTTAAGAGGGTGGAAGTGGCCTCGTAATTAACTAAAGGATATGTTACATTCTTTTGTCTTTTTTCTCGTTGTTCTTTTTCATTTCAAACACAAAGACTTCATAAATTATGTAATTAATAGTTTTCGTGCACCAAATATGTAAAAAATCATCTTCTAATCCATAATCTCATTGGCCAGCGAGTATGAATTGCTATGGAGCTTTCCCACATCTTTGTTATTTTCCTGGCTATTTTTGGAGTCATGTCTTATGAGATACATTTTACTAATTTTTCACACCATACATTTAGAGTGCTATATGCTCTTGGAGGGAAGTGCAAGTAAGCATGCATATTTAGTAATATAGAAAAGACATATATAGTATCCTCAAAATCTCTCATTCCTCCTTCCATTCTCCCTTCCTTCATTTTCTCGCTCTGTTGTTGTTCGTATTCTTTTGTGGGTTTTGGTTGTGTAACGTTTCCATAACCATTGGTAGATAGGAGGAATGAAAATAGTGAAGCTGTTAAGGAACCACCGTATGTTCTATTTTCTCGTTTCTAGAAAATCTTTTTAACCTGCTATTGTTATAGTTAAGAAATGCTCCAAAATTATTGTTTCTGTGAGTTGGCCCTAAACCAAAGATGTACCTTGTAAATTCTCGGTGTTATTTACTTTACTACATTGTTATAGTTAAGAAATGCTCCAAAATTACTCTATTGTGGATTCGGCATTTACTATGTAAGGGAGTTTGCTTTGTATCAATTTGAGGTCTTTTAGTGGTTGAACATAGTTAGTGGGATAATGGGTTAACGCATTTGCTTTGTAAGCTTCTTTGATATTTGCAGGAGCGATGTTTTTCTCTTTTTAAGCAATGGATTCGGCATATGAAATCACCAGCTATCGTGATTTCATTTACTCCTGGTAATGCTGATGCTTGATGGCTACAAGTAGATGAGCAGAAGAGTCTCAAGTGCGGTAACGGTCACGGAGGAAACAGTGGAAAAGCTACTCACCTTGTTAATGGGGAAGAGAAGCTGCGCTTGATAGCCCACAATCGTTAGGCTACATCTTTTATGTATTTTTATTATACTTAAGAATGTAAAAGCAATGTATTCAATTTGATGTATACGAATTTTATGTAATTTGAGAATAATGTATTTATTTTATGTATTTAATTTTTTTAATAAAATATTTATAATTTTATGAAAATGAATCGTGTCTATCAAATAAATTTAGGTAATTATGCAAGGTGATTATCTATATCTAAAAGTACAAATACCAAAAACATTATTTGCTTCAAAATATATTAATTAGAGGGAGATATTTTATGTTATTTAAGAAGAGTTATATGCCTCTCAAAAACTAAATTAGAAACAAATGTATCTCTCCCTAAAAGTTATTTAAAAGTAAATAACTATGCACAAAATTGACTTGTAAAAGTAGAATTACCATCAAATATATTTGCCTCCAAATGCTTTATTAGTAGCATATATTATTTGCTCCTATGTTTGAGTCTAAAAGGAATTAGAGACAGAGGCGTCTGATGCAAATAATGTATCTGTTTCAAAAGATATATAGAGTCAAATAAATGTCATTCCAAAACAAATAACATCTCTGTCTCTAAATCCAAGTTTTCTTGTAGTGTTAGGTCGACCGAAAAGTCCATGTCACCCGTAGCAAAATCCAAAATAATATTCTTATAATCATAGTTTCTTAAAACAAAAATTGGGGAAAGAAACATATAGTTTCTTGGATGGTTGATGAATTTAGCTAGAATGTTTATTGATGTCATTGGATCATTTCACGCGTATGTATTTCCTATGGCCAGATTGAATATAGTAATTTTTTTTGTTTTTTCTTAATAGCACCAACCAAACCTTAACCAACGATTAATTGCAGCAGAGCATGGCATGGGGAAGCAAAGAAGGAGACTTACGAAAGACAGAGAGGGAGGAAATTGCAGCAGAGCATGGCATGGGGAAGCAAAACAGATGGATCAATCTTTGACTACTCCAAAAACCAAAACCCAGCAGTGACCCTATCCTATTCCTATCAGTGTCCTCTTTGAGTTCCAATTTTGTCTTAACGAGACCAGAGAATGGGGACCGTTGGATGGGGGAGATCAACGGCGGTGATGTAGGGGCGGGGGGAATAAGGAGAACAGTTGGTGTCGGGTAATTGGAACAGTGAAGCGCGAAATCCGGAAATGGCGGAAATGGCCGGGGCCGGGGAGGGAGTACGGATGGCGGGAGAGAATCTGATGCGGATGCGGACACGATGCGTCCCCCAAATCAACAATTTGCATATATTTTTTCTTAAATAATATTAATTTCAGAACGCCGAGAAGAAGAGAGCAGAATCAGGAAAAAAACGCTCTTACATTCCTCCACGCTGCTCCGACATCCATCATTCTGCCCCCCGCACTCCTTCTCCCTCCTCTCTTTCGAGGGTTCTTGTTCTTGCATTGTTGCGTCTACCCTATCTTTCGATGAGTCGCTCCGCAAAAAATTAGGACAGTTTTTGGACAAAATGCAGGTGTGTCCAGCTATCCAAGTTGAGTTCAAACATTTTCCCTTATATCATGAAGTAGATAGTGAGGAGCTTAACATCATATCCATAATGTAACACATCCATCACAATAACGAAGAGAACAAAAGATATAGAGTATCTTGTTTAGGAAACGCACTTTTATTTGAGGGAAAAAATCAAATAATATTACTAAACTATCCTTCCTTTAATTGATTCGAATTAAAAAAATCTCTAAAATTCATAATACACCTCCAACGTGGCTGACTTCTCCTCCAAAACAAATTCTTGCCTCTATAAAAAAAATAGATTCTTGCCAAAATTGAAGAACACAGATCTCTGATTTTTTCATCTTGTTTCAATTCCTTGACGACCTTAATCCCCATGGTGTTGGCCGTACCGATGCGGACATACAAATGGACTCGAGCGACATGTGCTGGCAGTAAGGATCCGACTGCTTCACCTTGGCGATCAAGTAGACGTGCTTCAGCGTGACGGAGGACGCCGCACGGTGGCCGGGGCGGCTGCTGCCGGACTCGATCCCGGCGGCTTCTTCAGGTACCATGTGACCAATTGGGTACTTGAGCGTAAACTCGAACGTGTTGAGATTTTCCCTTTGCCAGTACAAATGGCGAAAGATGAAGAGAGAGGACGATGCGACGGCGGGGAGTGCGAGTGCGGTGGTGGGAATCAAATACAGTGTCTAATGGCAATAATGGTATATTTTTTAATAGAGGGTAAGAAGTTAGGTCACACAAACGGCGGTAAACGCGAATTTAAGGAAATTCGAACAAAATTCGCGAATTTTTGTTTGTTGGAGCGCGAATTTTCGTGAGAAATTCGTGAACTTAATTCATAGAATAAGAGGAGAATAGAAACGGTCGATGGTGATGACAATTGATTTGATGAAGGAGAAGGAATCGATGGTTGGTTGATGGAGAAAGCTGAAAACATGCCCAAGTCTCTCCATCTAGAAGAGAATCAAGTGATTGGGGGAGATCTTGAACTTTGAGGCGATGGCTTATTGTCGGCACAAGAAATTGGAGTCTGAATTAAGGATTGCATGTAGGGAGTCTATGGAGCTCGCTTGGGTTTTCAAGAATGGGAAGTTTTATGAGACATGGGGGATTTGTCGATGGGAAGAAGGTGCATATCGACAAGATGTGAGGTAAGCTGAGTGAAGATTTGGAGAAGTGGGATAGAGAGAGGTAGATGCTGCTGATACGAGGAAGAAGAGAGCAGAGGATAGAGTCGGCAGCTTCAGAGTTGAGGGTAGATTGCTCATTTAGGGTTTTGGAAGGCAACCAAATTTGGGCTCAATAGACTTTGGTTGGCCCATACAAAATTTTAATTATCCGCAAACTTTTTGTGGGCTGTGCTTAGCTTGTTGTGGCCTGTGGGTGTGCTGTTGTGGGTGTTAATTATTAAGTAGGGGAATTTAGAATTTTTGTTTTGAGTTTTTTATTTGGTTTCACCTTTTCAGTTTTGGATAATTAAAGACATTGACGTAGGTTGTATCCATAGAACTTTAAATTAGTCTCATTTTCTATGTGTAGTGGGAGTATTTTGTCAAAATTAGGTATTATTTAAAATAATATTTTAATTAAAATAATATAATATTAACACTCTGTCAACGCTTTGAATTTACAATTCTGTAATAATAGACGCTCTCACGCTCTCGTTTTCGCTCTCGCTCCCGCTCCACGAATCGGTAAGCTAAGTAAGAAGGTAATAATAACTTATAATTTAGGGCGATTATAATAAAGTTAGAGCGACAATTAGCAACTCCCTACTTAAACCCACTCAAACAGCAGTGATTGTGGATTATCTAGGATCCTGTGCATTAATGTCTTACACAGTTACACCAAAGCAAAAATGTAGTTTAGTGTATTAAAAAGGACGAAGACCTCTATAAAAAAAAAAGGATGAAGACCGGTGAAGGAAAGGCAGAGCTCAACCCTACAATAGAAAAAATGGGTAGAAGAAAGAAACTCTAACCTCACATCATAATTAGTCACTAGCTAGCCCTCTTTGATTAAGTTTTGGGCATTGTCGACTAGTGGAAACTAGATTATGTGTGATCCGTCTATAGCACCAGAATACTTAGCCCCACACATTTCCTCTCTCCAACAGTACTTGCAAGTTATTCAAAGTTACAAGTACTTGATATGTTCAAAGTTCAAACACATGTAGCTTAAATTAAGCGGGAGAGAGTAATTTGTTAATTGAAGGGACAGTGAATTGCTTCATTGCTTGAGTAAGACATTTGTGAAGTCATCTCATCAACCGACTTACATCGGACTAGTTTGGCTATTCTATAATATACTAATATTTTTGCAGAATCAATTTTTCGTTGTCTGGCTGAAAATTTTAGAGAAATACGTTTAAAAAAATTCAATTAAATTTTTGGATGAAAAACTATTAGAAGTGCTTTTTTTAAAGGAGAAGTGTTTTTTAATGGCTAAATTGCAAGGTTGGTCACTGAATTATTATAAAATTTCACGTTTGCCACTAAAATTAATTTATTTCATCTGTAGTCACTTAAATTAGTTGCACAATCCAAGTTTGGTCACTGACCGCTAGTCTCCGTTAATTTTTCCTGAGGTGACAGTCAACTCTCATAGTTGACCGTTAAATAGATGATGTGGCAATTAAAAATTCATTAAAAGATAAAAGTTAGTCTTTTAATATTTCCACCTAATTATAATTATATATTAAAATAATTAAAATTGTCTTCCCTACCCGACACAACCTCTTCCCTTCAGCTTCCCGTCAGACACCCAGCTCGACCGGACAAGCGGTGTTCGGTAAATTCACTAAATACATCTCTCCCAGCAGCTAAGAAACCATTGACCTATTGCATGAAAGAAGAAGAAGAATAAGAAGAAAAAGTACTTTGGCATTGGAGTAAGAAATTTTTTTTGGGTCTTAATTTGTGTGTGTGAAATTGGAACTGATGGTGCATGCATGAGTGTTTTAGTTTCACAAGTGGGATTTGTATGTTTATATAGGTTATTTTGTTTCTTATTTTCCTCTTTTGAACAACAGCCGAATTACTTTTATCTCTTACAATTTATTTCCAAATCTTATGTGAGTATCCAAAATACTCATTTAAAGAGAGAGAAAAAAAGACGAGTGCTCTCTCCTCTCTCCTAAGCTTCTGAAAGTTTCTCGATCGACATCTTTTCTCGGCGATCCTCGTCTTGCTTGAGGTAAGTTTACAGAACGCTGGATTAGAATGGGAAAGGAGCGGCAGGCCGGCCTTGGATTACCAGCTGGGAAAGATCTGCGTGTGTCGCCGACACGGGGAATAGAACAATCACTCGGGGACGAAAATGCTTCTAGCGTCGTCTGCTCTGCCAAAATGGTCGTACCCACATGCTAGGGTATTTTACGGGCAAGAGAAAGTTAGGGATGATCCTAACAGTCGATTATGCAATTCATCAACAGGCTGGCGATGATGAAGAACTGGATGCGAAGATCATTTCAACAAAGAAAAAAAAAATCTCGCTCGTCGATTGTGGCGATGTGGAGATTCTCTCTTCCATCTCAATCGGAGTTGGACAAGGAAGGATGGATGGGTAATGCCCTATATCCATATAGGCTGAATACAACACCAGCTGACCACCATATGGGTTCGTTTGCCGAACGCTGTCATAAATAGGAGTGGCAACCGGTCGATTTCGGTGTAACCGAAAACCCGGTTATCGGTTAAACCGAGACCCTCCCTTAAGCTGCCGACCACCGACCGAAGAAAGGGCACGGTTAGCCGGCGAACCGATCGAGCGATTCCGGTTTTGGGCTCGGTTAGCCGGCCAACCGAAAAAATTACATTTTCCAAAAAAAAAAAAAAAATATGCACCACTCAATCTCAAACCTTATCTTCTCCTCTCTCCCTTTCCTCCACCAGACCCTTCTCTTCTCTCTCCTTCCTTCCCACCATTTCCTCCACCAGAACCTTATCTTCTCCTCTCTCCCCTTCCTCCACCGGAAGAAAACCGCTGCATGAGACGACTCGCGGTGGCGGAAGACTACTCGCGGCGGGAGACTTCTCAAACCGCCGCCGCATAAATCGCTCGTCGACTCCACGGCGATTGGAAACAGATTCTGAGCCTGGAGGGGTCGCGGCGACGGGAGGCGAGGCGCAGCGACGGGAGCAGCGACTGGCGCGGCGACGGGAGCGGCGACTGGCGCGGCGACGCGGCGACGGGCGCGGCGACGCGAGGATCCTGGCCTCCATGCAGAGGAAGACTCCGGCGCCGAGGAGGATCTGCTGTAGGAAGAAAGAGAGAAGAAGAGAGAATGGTCGAAGGGAGGAGGATCTGCTGTAGGAAGAAAGAGAGAAGAAGAGAGAAGGGTCGAAGGAGTTAGGAAGAAAGAGAGAAGGGTCGGTCGAAGGGTCACCTCTCACCTCCTCTTTTTTATATTTTCGGTTGTGGGTCGGTTGGCCGGTTAGTCGCGGTTAACCGGCTTCGGTTACTCGGCTAACCGGACTCCTGATTTCCTCTACCGCCAACCGACCGTCCTCTTCTTCGTCGGTTTTCGGCTAGCCGAAAACCGGTCGGTTTGGTTGAAACCAACCGGTTAGCCGCTAACCGGAAAACCGACTGCCAACCCTAGTCATAAACCTCCGGAGAACAACAAGATCTTAACCCTGGTCCGGCGGCAAGAATTCTGACGAGTCAAACAGAATTGATGACAAGGGTATCACTCCCCTCTGATGTCGATCGCCGGGCCGCCACCGGGGGGATTTGCGAATCTACAATACCTGTTCACAGTAACGGCTTGACGGATGCAATCTCTTACAGACCCTCTACGGATTTTACATCAGGGGAGCTACAATTTGGGTTTTTAAATGATAAGATATTTAAGGCAAAATACACTTTCATAGCCATAACTATTGACGTTGTGACAATAATAGCCACTTTTTGAAAAATACACTAAAATAGCCACAAATCTAAAACTAGCTTGACAAATATAGCCATTTCCGTTAAAAACTTTAACACCGTTAAAACAACATCAATATCATTAACGAAATGCTGATGTGGATGCCACCTCAGCTTCCACATCAACACCAACACACCATTTCATGGAATCTGGCCTCCATGTCAAATTTTAATTTCAGAATAAATAAAAAAATTATTTTCACTAAACCCCATACTCTTTTTCCCATCTGTTCGCTCTCTCCGATAGCCGCCGTAGCTCACCATTCCTCTGTCGTCGCCGCCGATCTCTTTCTTTCTTTCACGACGGTGAGTCTCCCACCTTCCTCTATCGGAATTTCACCTACCTTATCTCCGCTGCACCACCGTGTCACAAAATTTCTCTACCCAATTCAGACTCTGATCTCGCCCTTTGGATATCCCTAGAAATCAAATTCAGGGCCTTGCTTCAATCGGCACCCTCTCCGCTGGTTGAATCCCCTCGAGGCCGAGAAGCACCTCAAGCTGTCGTCGTAGCCCATCGCTTCCAAGAAGAACAAGTCCAAGAAGTAGGGTTTCTGCATCCGTCGCTTTGTACTAGAATTCTCTGCTTTGTACGCAACAATCATCGCCACCTGCTGAA